GAAAATCACAGTATTATCCATAACCTTTCTGAGGATGATCAGAAGAGATTGATTCAAATATAAGTACTCATATCCTGTAGACGGTATTGACTCCATCATCCAGGGACTGATTCTCCGGCATGAGAATTTTCCAGATTTGTAACTTCCTCTACACGTAGATGACATCAGCCTTATAGGTCAGTATGCTGGAGGGCAAAAGTGCTTTAAAAACCAACCAGATCTGATAAATAATAATTCCGGGTACACATTACTTTAAGCACTATAGGTACCATGGGCAGACATTAAAGTGGCATTGCTGCCCAGGAGTAAATTTGCTTTAGACATAAGGACTGACCCGATTTTGAATTAGTTTGGCAAGGGCTAAGGATCCTGAGGTTTGGACAGAGAACATGTGAGCAGAGGTGGTGAGTGAGTTACAAAAGAGATCTGGGAATGTGGTCTTCCCAGTATGACAAGGTCCCCAACAGTGGACCTTGGGCAGCAGCAGGGAGGGGGAGGTGTCACTAGGAAGAAATGGGACAAAGAAACATGGGAAGGCTTGTTGCCAAAGGTGCTCATTTTTGAAGTCCTTTAACTCAGCTTCAGCTTGCTATATAAACTTTAGCTTTGAACCATTTCACTCCATGGTAGCATGTTAGCATTTTCCCTACGTGATGGGAAGGAAGAGAGACAATGTGGGTGGTTAAAAAACTGAGAGATAGTTAGAAATGAGCTGTTTCTATTCCCTGTTAGTTTATGGTAAAAAGGGATTGAAAGAGACAATCAGGTGAACTGAAGTTTCCCCTGACAAGAATGAAGAGCAGAAAACTACACAGACCAGCTGCAGAACAGGGTGCAGCCACATGTTTTCATCCCAGAGGGGTTTTTTCACGTTTCATAGCTCTGGTCCACACACAGCTGGTTTGCTGCGTTACAGTGCTAGAGCAATCGAGGGCATAAATGCAAACCTCCTGCGGATGCTCCAACCGATTCACCAAGCAACCATTGCCTGGCCTGAGGTCCTGTTTTCCAGATACAAAAAAACTGAGTACCAGAGTGTGTTAAAACTAAGGCAGGGGTTTTGCATACGGTATTCTTAGCGGTAACAATATACAGATTCCTTAATCCTTAACCCTCAAAAAACTACTAAATTTGAATTCACATGTCTGGAAACCTAGGTTTTTTTTTTTTAAATAAGCCATCAGGTGTTTCTGATAACCAGCTGTGTGTGGGAGTCATGGCTGTTGTCATTTAACCCCCCTAAAATTTCACAGAAGTATTAATAGTCCCATTTTATAGATGAGAAAGCTGAGGATCAAAAGGAGTAGGAATCTGCTCAAGCAAGTCCACTAGTACAGAGCCTAAGCTGACATCAAACCTAGGTTGGTCACCAAAACATCTACCGTACCTACAACAAATGACTGTATCAGGCTCTTCTCTTGGACTCCAATCCACTAACTGCTCACTAAGGACTATTTTCTTTAGAAAGCTGACCATAAGCATACTTTTGAAGGAGGCAACAATTTTTGTCATGGCCCTTCCCGTCAGAACTCTCTTCCTCCCACCTATATTGGGAGCTAATGATGCTCTGGCTCCTTGCCTCCTGAAACTTGCAAATCCTCCATTCTGCCACATTAGAAACCTACCTTCCCTCAGAAACCGGGTGTTGGTGATCAGTGTGGGCTGGTGAAAGAAGGTGAACCTCCCTTGCTCAACTTCTTCTCTAGCAAGGATCAATTTCATTATCCTCCAAGTCCACTCAACCACCTCCAACCCTCCACGAAGTTCATGTATTAAAAGGCTTTTGCCTACAAAGCAAGTAGTTTCATACAACTACTTGTATGAAATAATTCATTCTGCCTTTTAAAAAATATCCATCTACAATTACCAATCAGAACGTGAATGAATGTGAAATTACTAGAGTGGATACAGTTTCATCAAAAAGCAAAAAAACCTACACTTTTGTTAGTCTGTGCAGCCTGACTGTGGTCAAATGTACATTTTCCCTTAAAGTCCTTTAAATAATAATAATAATAAAGAACTTGTAGAAAACAAAGCATGGCTGGGATTTCAGAGTAGGAATGATGGTAGCCAAAGGAATCACTCTAACAGAATTTTAGACATGATGGAGGGAGAACTTAATCATGGGCTCAAACCTCTGTCCCAGTAACAGCCACACCCTCTGCTGTGCATTAAATCTGCCCTACATTAGTTTTTTAAAGTTCTAGGGAAGACAATATAGCTGGAATCATCAGGGTTAAAAAAAACACAACACTTTGAATTTGTTCATATGTGCTTTCTATTGAAGGGAGAGGGAGAGAAAGGGCTCACTGCATGTTATGGGGTTTTCAAACTTTAGCATTCATAAGAAACACCTGGAGAGTTTGTTCTACAATTATATTCCCAGCTCCAACTTCCAGAGATGCCAATTCTCTGGTCTGAGCTGGGGCTTGGGATTCTGCGTGTTCACCAAGCACCTCAGGTGATTCTGATGCAGGTTTTTTTTCATTAACTTGCTATTTTACAAATTCTCAAAATGCAAAAAAGTTCCAAGAACAGGACAAGAAACACTGGTATATCCGTCACCGAGATCAAGGCTTGGTCAACTTTTTCAGTAAAGGGGCTAACCGTAAATAATTTTGGCTTTGCAGGCCTTATAGTCTCAGTGGCAACTACCCACCTCTGCCACCGCAGCACACGAGCACCCATAGTTACTACCTGTGAGCAAGTGGGCTCGGCTGTGTTCCAACGAGATTTTTTTTATGGACACTGAAATTTAAATTTCATAGATTTTCACCTAATAAAATTATTCTTCTTTTAACTTTTTGCAGCATGCTCTATTTAAAAACATAAAAACCACGGTTAGCTCCAAATTGTAGGCACAGGGCCTATAGATCATAGTTTGTCAACCCAGATTAATGAGTTGTGACCATGAAGCCAAAGCTTTTCTGAGGATGAACTTTAAATTTACTGCTTTTCATATGGTGACGAATCATTTTGTGCATCTTAGAAAAATTACAAAAACGCATCTATGAAGATGTTTTCTGCCCCACTCTATGTTGTATTTTCATATACAGCATTTTTACAGCTTGCTATGGCTGGTAATTTTGGATGCCTGTGGGGCACAGTTCCTCATTTAGAAATCACCATTCAGCCAGTTATTCTCTAATTGTACTACATAAAAAGCGTGTGTGCCCTTATCCACATCACCAGGACCTAATTAAACATCCTTTTATCAGCTTCTCATATTGAGGATAAATAAGGGTAAAAAATCCCTGTCTGTTCCAAGTAACTCAAATAGCGTGGCAAGAACTGAACAGCATTTTGTCATTTGTGAGCAAGGAAGCAGGAATGGCCTCGCTTACATTTTTTTCTCCCTGACCTTTTTTTGAAAATTAGCTCCAGCCCAGAGTGGCTGTTCACATTTCCAGCAGATTGGGTTATAACCAAGTAAGACTAACAACAGTAATAATACAAACCTATTACCCTATTAAAGGTCTTCACCTCCAGGGGAATTTCTCAAGTTATTAAACATTGTTTAATAAGTATCTGAGAGCCAAAAAAGAATTCTGGAGGTAAACGCCAACTCTGCATCACAAAAATCAACAAACACTGTCATGATGGAATCTATGTACCGTACTCACCTACTAGGAGCAACAGAAAAAAAAAGAAAATCTGAATTAACTGAGTGCATTCCTTCCTATTGAAATGCCTTTCCACTGGACTCATCCGAACATTATCTTATCTCTGAAGGAATGAAAACCTACAGTCCTTATCTGAAGCATTCAGCCTCTATCCATCTCATTGCCCTCCCTTCCACAAAACAAATTAACCCATTTAATGGCAGGAGGATGCATTCTCTCCCATTGAAGTTAGAGAACAGGAGTCATAAATCCGCCCTTCCCACCTCCCAGTCTAAACATCAGCTTAGTCGCTGCTTTGGAGTCACAGTCCATGAGACTGTGCGTCTGCCTTTCATCTTCTCGCGAGCACTATCTTCCAGCTTCCGGAGATAATATATGGCGTGCTGACTCAGGTGCGGACGCAGGAGTCCCACAGCAAAGACCTAAACCCCGGTCTGTCGACATAGGAGAGCCCTCTGGGTTTCTCATCAGCTGACTGATTTGTGGACGGCCACAGTTCTGGAGCTCAACCAATGGCCTCACCTGATGGAAAATGCTTATGAACTTATAAATCACCTTTGAATATATTTTCTTGGTAGAAATAGAACAGATTGCTAGCTCCCAGCTGCCTGAACTGTGTATATCGGCTTATGGGACCAATTGAATGATTTGAGAGGATTAAAGACTAAGGACTTCAGTTAAAAGTTCTACTAAAAAGAGACAGTAGTGAAATGCTTTGTTTAGGGCTGGGAGTTCTGTGAGTAATCTAGGCATCTCAAATAAAAATAAATGCAATTTTGTTTTAGTCACAAAAAATTATAGACTGAAGTTGAACAGTAGGCCTATTATAGCAGCACAGTGGTTCTGAAACCTGGCGGCATGTTAGAATCACCCAGGGAGCTTTAAAAAAAATTCCAATACCCAGGCTGCACCCCACACCAATTAAATTGGAATCTGGGGGGAAGGGGGGTGGGGTCCAGGCCTCCATATTTTTTAAAGCTCCCAGGTGATTCCAGTGTGCAGCCAAGATTGAGAACCTCTGCATTGGAGAATATGGTCCTTGCCCTTTTGAAGCTTAGTCTTACAAAATCTACTTGGTGGACAGTTTCTCTTCCTCATTTCTGCCAATAACTTCTTTACAGCTGGAACCTGCAATTTAAAAACTTATAGAGATATAAACTCACATACACACATATATAAAATCCATGCACACGTATTTTTATTTCTTTAACTTAGGCCCTGATTATTAGTATATAAAACAGAAAAACCAAGCGCCTTGGTAACTTACATATCCTCTCCAAATCTTTAAAGAATCAAACTCTAAAAAACACACATAAGAGATATTTAAGTCATAAAACACACACACAAACAAACTTTAATCACCTTCAGGAACCATGATCCAATAATATATTTCATAGGTCAGATCTCATTCATCAATATACAAAAAAAAAAAAAAAAAAAACCCAAAAAACCAAACTTTGATTAAGACACGTGCCCTGACCAAGAGCACTTACAGTTAGAAAGGTTTATTGGTAGCACTTTGAGGTAGCATATTTGTAAAGTAAAAGAAGTCACAGAGCTGCTCTGCAGTTTCTCCCGGACACAAAGGTACAGGCCATCGTCAGCCTTTGCCCTTAGCAGAGCAAAGTGGATTTGTCTACACTCATTGCCAATGCCAGCCCAAACACACCCTACCACCTCCACTAGGCCATCCCTCCACTACACTTCATGCATTGTGGGTTTAGAAAAACATAAAGGTATTTTGATGTTTCTTTCCTCTTGGTGTGGCGGCATTCCAGGATACGAAGGAAAATCTTTTTGCCACACGCGAGTCTCACCGGCAGGAGACACACGCGCCCAGAGGAAAGGGAAATTGGGCATCATGACACCTTTTTAATTAGCTTTAACAATTTAATTAAGAGTGATTCACTCCTTTAAGGATACAAAGAGGTTCATGTTTGAACCTCAATGATTCTGGCCCTTAGAAGGCTCTCCTTTCTTCGTTCTCAGGGTACAACTTTTTTGGACTATCATTAAGCTTTCTGGGATTTTCCTGGCAGGATGGTGAACAGAAAAGCTTAAAAAATATCCACACACAAAAACAATAACAAAAACCCAGGTGCAAGAGCAACACCAAGAACAGACTTCCTTTGTGCAAGTTAAAACAACACAAGTTTACAGTTCAGGAAAATGGCCTGCTTCTTTTAAAAAAAAAAAAAAATAAGTCAATTTTCAGCTCAGCTCTGCATTTGAAATACAAATATACAGTCAAAACAGGCTAAGGATTAAAGCTGCAAAAATGGTCCCAACAGCCCCAGACCTTTGGTACAGGTCAACTTTTTGCCCAATGGTCATGGATTAAAGGAATTTCTAATCCCTGTGAGCACTTTTGTCCCAATATACTTCCCATCTGTAAGTTGAACCCTTAGAAGTAATCAATATACAAATGAATAAAAATAGCACATGTCCAGGCAAAAAAAGGGCATGAGCTGGGCCTGAGTTGCCACTTAAAACTCTTGTCATTCAGTATCATAAAAAGTCTTCAAAGGCTGCCCAGAAACAGGGCACCAGGTGTCGCTGAGCATGCCAGCTACCAAGTCAACTGCTGCACAACACAACTGAGCATTAGACTTCAAGTATCCAAGGTGCTACAATAGCTGATCTTCTAAAGACTTCAGGCTGACTGTCAGAACCCCCACCCTACCATGCTGCATTACACAAACAGTAAAACACCGCTTATGGTCATTACAAAACACTGGGGTGGACGGGGAGGAATAAGAGAACCGCTCTCTGAACAGGCCAGCCTTACAAATACAAATAATTTCTCTAACATTTTGTACAACTAGAAGGTGCATGAGCTGGTATTCAAGCAATGACTTCATACTCTTTCTTTTCTCCCCTTTCTGTATCAAACAGGAAAATGGTTCCATTGGGTTAACAGTGTCATCTTAAAATGCCATAAATTAAATAAGTTAGTTCACATTTTTTTTTTCTTCCCAGCACTTAAGTTACAGTTAGTCTCTAATGTGCTTTTGAAGCTAGCTTTAACAGTTCCAAGTCTCTTCTGCGAACGGTGCCTGCTCTGGGACAACCATATTCGTCCAGCTGCAAAGGCAGGAATTGTTCAAGCACCCCAAGGCCCTGTCCAGCAGGACTGGTAAATAGCTTAGTCCATGACAGTTTCAAGGTTCCGCTGAATCCCACGAATATGGTACTCCCTAAAAAAATAATGCAGAGGTGAGCAAAACAAAGGCAGCTATTTAAAAAACCCTACACTTCCTTACATCAGCAAATGAACTCTTACCCACCCACCTCTTGCCCCAAATAACAAACCACATCCCAAGACACTTCCTCTAACACTGTCCCCTTATTTAGAAATTGTCTTAATGATACCCACTCCAGAAAAACAAGGCCACGAAAATCGTCTGGTAGCTAAATTCCACCAGAAAAAGGCATATGCTGTTGGCCCCCTAAGAACTTCATAGAATAATAATATAAATACAAACCTTTGTTATAAAGATGAGCTGGTTTGGCTAATCCCAGAGGTACTAATGAATCTGAAATGTTCAACTGTTTTATTTCTCCTCTTGTGCTCAACAGAACAATTGACCTGTATATTAAAGTTAGAAAATCAGTGCCAATTTCAATCATTCAGTACATTTTTACTGAGTACCTTTCTGAACAGAATACTGAATAGAAACACTAGATAAAAGCAGAACACAGAAAAAAGCCCAGATGCTTTTTCATCTCTGCTATTACAAGGTCCCACTCTTCTGCCCCACATGGAACTTCTCATGTTGTTATTACAAGGGAAACCGAAAGGGAAACCAAGTCATTTAGGTAAGTTCACCTAGTGGACAGCTTGGGACACTGCTCTTTCGGGGAACAGTCTGTTATAACATTGGAAGATAGTTTAACATTGGAAGATATAATATTGGAAGATAGTTTTATTGTTTCAGATGCTCTGTTTATCTATTTATGTTCTATTATCTATTTATGAAATGAATGGATAAACAAAATTCTAAGACAAAATAAAGCAAAATCTATTCTCCATGGTTTGGTTTAAATTACCATCTTTACCATGCAGTACATTAACACACATACTCGGATCTGTCTGTGGATTCTCTATTCTCTTTCTCTGATCCCTCTCCTCTGCCAATACTATGCTGGCTTAATTACTATGACTTCGTGGTTTATTTTAATATCCGATAAAACAAGTTTCTTGTATTATTGTGATTTGTTTAAAAATGTTTTACTACTCTCTTAACATTTGTTCTTCCAGATAAACTTCAGTGTCAACTGTCAAGTACAACAGAAAAGTAACCTATCGGTTATGTGTTAATGGAAATGTGTTAAATTTATAATTTAAGTAGAGTGACATCTTTACAATATCAATTTTTCCATCCAGAAACAGAGAGAATCTCTCCTTTTATTCCACTCTTATTGTATATCCTTTAGTAATGTATTTGTTTTATTAATGTGGGTCTTGACCTCTCTTATGATTAAGAGCCTTAAGTTTTATGTTGGTGTGTGTTCTTTGTTGCGGTCTTTCTAAAGCACTAGTGACTTAATTCCGAATCAGTGCAGAGGACTGACGATAGCCACCCTGCAGACTGGATCTTCTTCAACGGGTCAGAATTAGCCATGAGATCACTTACAGCTCACCCCACCCCGACCCACCTGGCCCCTCCACACACACACACGCTCAGTCTCTCTAGAAGTCACTGCCAGTTGCCCCCTAACTTCTTAACACTTCATTAAAATACAACATGCACAGTTGAATTTTTGCAAACTAAACATATTTGTGTAACCAGCATCCGGATCACAGCATTACTAGTATCTCAAAAGCCTTTCTTGTGTCCCCTTTCTGGAAACCACCTTGTGACTTTCTAATGAGTTGGTTTTAACTCTTAAATCTCTAAGGTACTTTGCAGGACTGCGATGTTGTCCTAAATACTTGTGGTGAGATTTATGTCCCGGATGGTTTTAGGGGAAGTGAGTGAGTGCATATGTTTTCAACATTAAGAAAAAAATCTTTAAATCCTTAAAGAACATTGAGGCCCCATAAGTATTCTATCTTAAACCAGAAGATAAAACTAGACATGCATATTGAATATTGTATTCAAATAATCTAATGATTTCATGGGACTTATTAGGATCTGGTTCTGTAATCTATAAAGAGCATAAGTGATCAGAAAATGATTTTAAAGCTAGACAGGCTTTTAATTTCTGGGAAGCTTATGTTCTTCCCTAATGGCTTCACTAAATGAAGGCCTGTATATAAATCAACGTCTGGGGCAAAGCCAAGGGGCAGAAAGGACTCTGAATTCATCTCCTTGCCTCCAGACAGGGTCTGGCCAGCCCAGAAAAAGGAAGGTTTCTCTCCTGTGCACCTTTCTTCAGAGACCAACAAAGAAAGGCAATCAGACTGGCACTCTTAAAAGAGAGACCAGACACTCAACCACTTAGAAATCACTTTACTCTTTCCTAGCCATTTCCAGATGACCCAGGTGATGACTTCCTCTATCAGAGTCATGGTACAATGTTGTCCAAGAGTCCATCAATGGGGCAGTTGGCTGCAAAGGCAAACTGCCTGGAAAATTACTTCAAAATGGAAAATAAGCCTCTGAGCAAGTTGGGTACAAAGTAGATTAATTTAATACTAAAAAGTGGTACAGTAATGTTCCAAATAATGAGCTTTTCTCCTTTTAGGAACCCTCCTACCATTTGCAAAATCTTCGAATATCCAAGTTCTGCCATTGATAAAGCAACAGCTTGTCAATGATAAACAACTCAGACCACACGGGCATCAGTCTGAGGTAGGAAGGGAATGAAATACCTTTCACAGAGCCCTGAACGCCCACAGAGTACAAGATCTGGTAAACACAATATAAAATATAAACCAAACCTCAGAGTTAACCAAATGTTATCTGTTTGAAGCACTCCACGTCTTTAAGGTGGCTTGTTCCCATTACAGAACACGTCTGACCTACCTTGGAGGGATGTCTGTTTTTAAATACTCTTCCAAGCGACTGACATCAACAAGAGGGAAAAACTTTTTTTCTGTCAACCGGAATGGAACGCTGCATGCATCAACAAGGAGCAGAAGGACACCTGCACTTCGGAAGGTAAAGTCGGTGCCATTGACCTGAGAATACAAAAATGTCTTCTGCTGTCATCACCATTTCAAGAACATCTCCAGGATGACTCATCTTTCCAGCTCCTTGCCTCTATCTTCTAAACCCATAATTCAAATTCTATTTCCAGAATTCAAATTGCATATTTCACTTACTCTTTCCCCGCCAACGTTTGAAATTGTGCCACAGGTTCTATAGACTCTGTCTTAACTTATCTTTGCTGCCTGGAGAAGATGCTCTGAGCAAGGTATGGTGGCCCCCACAGAGCGAAGCTGGCTGACTCGCTCTGCAGTGCTCAAGACCTTCATTCTTACACACATTCTCTCAACGGGGTCAAAGCTTTGATAGTCAGTGATCAAGTGGTAGCCTCTGTGCTGCAGCTCAGATAGCTCACTTATTGTCAACTTAGTTCAGGGAAAAAAAAATACATATATATATGTATTTTTTTTTCCTGCCTTGACCCACAGAAATTCCCCATTAGAGTTTAAGTTTACAATATCATAGAAGTCCAATTGCTTTATCTCCTTCACTATAAATACAGCTCTCCCCTGAAATCAAAATGGCAAAGTAGTGGTGTTTTACTGGAATTTAAGCTACAAGGTACTACTATATTTGGTCTCACAATTATCGTGAGCTGAATTTCCATAGTCATCCTCTTTAAATGAATGGTTTGTGACCTTTTCAAGAAAAAAGAACTCCAGACATTTCCAAGTATCATTAATTCTTCTGCCAAAAAGGAAAAAAAACAAAGGCTAGAACTAAATACTAATTAAACCCATAGGCACTGACTTTGTTTATAAGGTATAAAATTATAAACTATGCTAAAGGCTAACAAAGAACAAATGTTCTCACCACTGCACCTGTCCTTGCTTGGGGAAATTAAGATATTTAAATTTTAATTCTAATCACTATTGATCTCACTGGAATTCAAAATGGCCTTTTAGCTATGTTTGAATTGTGCTAATCCAGTGAATTGTTCTAGAAGTGCTCGAGGTAAGCTTTATATGCGGAAAGACTAGATGGTATTCTTTTTATTTTTTAAAGTCTCGATACTTAAAATTGAGATCCATTTAAGAAAAAATTATGTAACAATCCTCAACACACTCAAACTGTCCTCATGAAAAGTACCCCTCAAAACCTGTGGCTAAAAAGAAACAGAAAACTTTCCATAAAAATTAGAGCGAAGCCTGGCACGGTGACATGGACCTGTAGTCCCAGCTACTTGGGAGGATCGTTTGAGCCCAGGAGCTCAAGGACAGCTTGGGCAACATAGCAACATAGCAAGACCCCATCTCAAAAAACCAAAACCAAAAACCACAAAAATACCCACTAAAGCAATGCCAGGTCCTAGGAAAGAATTTTCAGGTAATACATGTGAAAAATATTAGAGATATATATGACAAAACACAGTACTCTATGATTTTCTAGGGTCTCAGGGACCCAACATGCAGCAATGGAGTCAAACAATGTCTTCAGACCCTGGGGCGTAGCCTGCTTGAAATTCTATTTTGGCAAAACAATCTATCAATCTGTCTATCTACCTGTCTATAATATCTATCTATCTATTATCTAGTGAGCTACCACAGCAGTGAGATCCAGCACCCACCTGCTTCTCCCATGCAACCCCCACCAGATACCAGGCTAGCAGGGTGAGAGCAGGTTCCTCATGTAGCCGACTATATTCAGATACTGAGCTAACAAATTTCATGCCAATAAAATTACATCATGAGCATATTACAAAATGCAGGACTGCTGACAGAGGGGAATGGTATAAATACAGACTGGAGGGATCTTCGAGTGACATTTAAATAGAGATAGTCTTAAGAGTAAAAAATTCTGGAGCTGGGTCGTGGTGATGGTTACACAACAATATGACTGTACTTCATACCACTGAACTGCACACTTAAGAATGGTTAAAATGGCAAATTTTATATTGTATTTTTCTACAATAAAAAAACTGATAAAGTAAAATTTAATTTTGTCCACATATATTTGGATTTGTGACTTACGTTGCCCACCACTGAAAAAAACTGAGTTCCTAAAGAGACCACGTGAGACTGGGCACAGGCCCTGGCTGGGTACTAGTCAGAAAGCTAGACACCTGTCACTCAAAGCTCTGCATATGATGGCACCCAGATCAACCGGATTTTGGACAGGCCATATGATGAGACCCGTTCCTAGTGGCTAAGTTGGCTCTAAATTCCACTGTTAACCCTGAGACTCACATCTATTCTTTCATTAACCTACTAAAAGACAACTAACACTTTGCATCTTCACTTTCCTCATCTGAAAAAATTGGGGAGAGGCAAACTTAAAATAAAAGGTCAGAGATTTTAAAATCATTATTTCCCATATCTTAAACCAATTATAGTTTTCTATATCTCGATTGCCTATGGCAACTATTTTTTAACCAAAGATGCCTTTTCTCTTACAGACATGAAATGAGTCACTTGTAATGCTCTTAGTGAGTAAAAGTACTGTGAACAAATTTTAATATCAGCCTCAAAGTAATCAATAAACACAATGTACTCAGAAAAAAAAAAAAACTTTAATAAAAACATTTATTTGAAAACACAAATGTTTAGGAAGTATTTATACTTCTACTGTATTGCTTGTCACCAATGATCAAAATGTGATTACAAACCAGTGACTATTGCCAGAGATAATTCAAGTCAGTAGGATGAAAGATAAAAGCAAGAAGCCACAGCAGTGTATACACCTGCTATGGTCTGAACGTTTGTGTCCCCCCCCCAAATGTATATGTTGAAATCCTAATCCCCAAGGTGACAGTATTAGGAGGTGGGGTCTTTGGGAGGTGATTAGGACATGAGGGTGGAGCCCTCATGAATAGGATTAGTGTCCTCATAAAAGAGACCTCTCAACCCTTTCACCACGTGAGGATGCAGCAAGAAGGCGCCATCCAACCAGGAGGCAGGCCATCACCAGACACTGCACCTGCTGCAATCTGGACCTTGTACTGTCCAGTCTCCAGAACTGTGAGAAATAAATTTCTGTTGTTTATAAGCTACCTAATTTATAGTATTTTGTTATAGCAGCCAGAACAGACTAAGACCAAATGGTACTTACAGAAATAACAGACGGGTCTCCACGCTGAGTTTCTGCTTTACTGGGTGACTGGAATTGCACAGGGAGGTAGCTTTTATGAGGGTCACTAGTAAACACCACCTAGACAGGGCAGAAGTTCCACATTTATGGCAACTGTATTTCCCCCCAAAGGTTCCCTCAATATAAACTTAATTATAATCAAAGCCGGTGGCTGTATTTCCTTTTCTGAACTTTTTATACATATTTCGTGGCCTAGAATTCCATCTTGATACGCTTAACACAATAACTATGTGTTCCTCATTTGCTGGAACAACCCCAGTTTCAAATAAGCGTAATCTTGTTAATCGAATTAATTCAATAAATGACTAAATAGACTGGGCACGGTGGCTCACGTCTATAATCCTAGCATTTTGGGAGGCCAATGTGGGAGGATCACTTGAGGCCAAGAGTTTTGAGATCAGCTTGAGCAAAAGCAAGACCTTGTCTCTATAAAAAATAGAAAAAATTAGCTGGGCGTGGTGGTGCACGCCTATAGTCCCAGCTACTTAGGAGGCTGAGGCAGGAGGATCACTTGAGCCCAGGAGTTCAAGGTTGGAGTGAGCTATGATGATGCCACTACACTCCAGCCCAGGCAAAAGAGAGAGACTTTGTCTCAAAAATAAATAAATAAACAGATAGATAGATAAATGTGCTTTACATTTAAATCTTTGTAAAAATTTCATGCAAAAACAGGCACAAATCTTTTTAAAAGTCCTTTTGAGAGCAATTATCCCACACTGGGGCTCAGTCACTCTAACTAAGAAAAGAAGTGTAGATAACAAGGACTACCCCGTTGAGAAACTTTTAGTGGCCCTGTACATGACCAAGTCTCAACTCCTCTCCGTGACCTGTGAAGTGTTCCATGAATGGAGCCACGCCTTATACCCAGGCCGCATGTCTCCCTATTCTGTTACACTCAACAAAGCCATCTCCTCACTTTCCCACAAGCACTGCACCTTCTTTGCTGCCACTCTGCCTTTGCCTATGCTGTTCCCTCCCCAAGAATGCCCTTCCCCTTTCCCTCTATTCCTCTAAATTACTTCTGGTCTCCAAACTCACCTCCTCCCACCTCCCTCCAGGCTCTCTTCTCATGCAAACATGTTTAACTCTCACACAATTTAGCACTTAAAAAGTACACTGTCCTTATAACTCAATGTTAGCAACTTCATTGCAAGAACAAATAATCGTAATGATACTAAGCGGGATTCAGAAGCTGGACATTTCTTTGGTATCTCAAGTTTGGGGTCAAAAATTCATGTGAATTTTCTTACTAACTCCTCATAGACATGTGTTTGGTTTTGAAATTCAAAATAAAAATTCCCCTTGCATTTCCGAGCCATCCAGGGTAAATTGATGTTTCATGGGGGAAAGTAGCTTTGTTATAAATTTGAACTAGTTTGCTTCTTGTGGGTATTACATTCTAGCATGGGCCAAAATTCAGGAAACACCATGGAGTGTTTCTAAATTGGCAAAACAGATGTGTCAAAGAAAAAGTGCTCCTATTGCAAAGAAACTCTTTGACTTTTTCTCCCAGGCCACACAACCCACTTTTTCTTCCTTATTTACCTGCCGGGTCCCACAGCCTTTACAGAGTCCAGTGAGCATGGACGGCATCTGCTTGACCGCTGAGGGCTTTCTGTAATACCGTGGGTATGCTTTGGCCATGCAGTTATTGATGTCTTTTGAGTCTGTTGCTGCCTGGATCTTGACTCTTTCGCATCCCTGAGATGAACAGTAACTATGGCCATCCCTGTGGCTTTTGGCTCTGAGATACAAAAACAATAACCTGCACAAAACAGAAACCAACCCATTTAGTTAGACTTACTGTTCAAAACTTACAAAATTCCTCAGATCAACTCATGGCCAAAAGGGATATTCCTTCAATAAAGTAAACTTTCCTTAAAAGAAAAACAAATTACAAAACTAATAAAGTTTTTTCTGTTTTCTTCCTATCCTCTCGGAGTCCTAAGTCAAATGCAATATCACTTTAGAAAATATTTTGATACCCTGATTCAGTCACTCTGGAAGATACCAAATTTGATTTCTGGTTTGAATTAGTTCAATAGGTATTTTGGGAGGATGGAATTTGGTTTGGCTCAAAAAATCCTTGGAAAACTTGATACTTGTATTGAGTTTAGGATTCGGTAAATTGATGTGGTTCATTTTTTTGCTGTTGTCCATAAACCATTTTGGTTTAAGACACAAAACTGGAATAATAAAAACAGCAACTTTGACTTGTTTGCCTAAGACCAAGCTATAGTCTCAAATCAATTTCTGTGATGTTTACCAAGAGCAGATGAGTCTGCTATATTTTGTCTATATTCTGTCTATATTCAGGCCAAAATCAGGCAAAATGAACAGTTCCACCCATTTCTGAATAATCCTCCTACTGCCAAGATGAAAAGTCTAACTTCTAGGCAGCACTTCAACATCTGTCAGAAAACCCCGTCCTTCTAAACCAAAGAAAGTCAAGATTCTAAAGGACTTGATCAAATGAGATTGATTACCAGAGATGAGGAATTCACATTTTAAGATGAGGTCAGTGAACACGGCGAAGTTGCAATTATGAAGTAAAAATCAGCCATTGTCACAACATCCAGTAATTTTAACACATATACACAAGAAATGACAGGGACTTGATTAGGCATGGGCTTTTTGATACATAATTAAAATCATCAAAATGAATAGAATTAAGAATTAGAACCTCAAAGGCTGAGGGATTCTTGAAATACCCACACCAGAAAATATTCTCCAATCTTTTTTATACATTTAATCATTAATTTGTGGCCACCACACTGTCCTTACAAATTTGGGTAATTCTGTGTATTTTTGTGCAAAGTCAGCTGGAAATATGGAAGTTCTGACATCTACAGAATAAAAGTCCAGGTAGGTTAAATCTAATTAGAAATTGAAAATCAGAGACAATTATGATAAGAAAACTTTTAAGCTGACTGCACTGGCTGCTGGGGGACCTGGAGAGCAAGTGAGTTGCATCTCAGTCAAAGGATAACCAGGCAATTAAGGACTGAGTCCCAACTTCATTCCCCCAATCAATCTCACCACCCTCTCCCCACTCTGAATTTTCTGCCTTTCCCCAAACGTCCCACGCCACATTCTTCCATGCCTCCATGCATTTGTGCACACTATCCTTTCTGCCTGGGACAGCTCACCCAACTCTTTTTCTATCTCTTCCTAATTGTTCATCAAGAGTTAGCTCCAGGGTCACCCTCTCAGGATGTCACTGGTTACTCTCAGCTGAACTTCTGAGTTACCCAGAAAGGCACACTGAACATCCCACTATAGGATTTAAAGCATTTAAACCTTTCGTTCTCTGATTACTTGCTCTGCATGTCCACATCCTTCAATGCACTACGAATTTGTAGAAGAAATGTGTCTTCTTCACATTGGTATCTTGACAGTGCCTAGATGATGGTACATAGTGGGAAGGATGGCTGAGGAGGGAGACGGATGGAACATGCTACTTGCTGGAAGAGTACAGGAGAGGAAGCCTACCATAGCCCACAGGCTGACAGATGTAACGGGATAAAAGCAGACAAAGCCAACAGGAACCCCGGAGAACAGGATTACATAAAAAATGCAAAGATGCAGCCTAGAGAAAGTTGAAAGCAAATATGGCACGGTTACACAGGGGTTTTTTTTTTAAACTCAAGGTCAACTTGAAAGATAGCCTTAAGTCAGCAGAAAGAGAAAAATGAGCTTTTCACTGAAATATGAACTATATAACACAAGTAAATAATCATCTAAAGAGTTGTTATAGTAAAAATTATTTTAATTTTCAATTGGGTCTACCGGTTCTTCATCGACAAGGACAATTTCTCTCCATAATTGCCTTAATAAGTATATGGCAAACATCTTCACCCGATTCCCACTGCCAGCTGTAATTACCAGTCATTCCAGTTTCCCTCTCAACCTCTAACAGCAATATACAGGGAATTACCCACATGGGCTGCTTTCCTAAACAGCCACTATGCTGAAGGCTAGCAATTTTACCATTAAAGAAAAGTAGCAATAATTCTCATTCCCTGGTTCCACTGAATTACCCTGTGCCGGAGTCAAAATAGAATTTCCTCTCAGACTGCTTCGTCTGCAGTTCTTCCAGTGAATGCACAGGCTCATACTCGTCGATTTTGGATAATGAACCATTCTGCCGCTGCAAAAAGCCAAAGGTAACCTGAAAACTTGTGTTTGATGGATAGCAGAGGCCAACCCGAATCCAGTCATTCCTTTAAAGGAGAGACAAAAAAATTAATTCACACTTGAGCCACTCTCTTTTGAGTATTATAGCATATGGAAATTTTAGCCATGGTTTTTTCCTCCTTAAATTTCTGCTGTGTGTTGCACCACTAACAATGGAAGTCCTGAATCCCAGCATACTAATGAATCATCCACCTTTATCTGTTATGTTTTTACCATTTCTATTTTAAGGAGTTCTCATATCAAGTATTTCACACCAATGTATTTACAATAATACTATACAAAAAATTCTTGATTTCAACAGAATTTCAGGGAATATGAATAAAAGTTGGATAAAACATTCTTAGATACTCCAAACTATTAATAAATTAAGTGAAATGGTTGGATATGGCCATACCAAGATGGAAATACTATTAATAATAGCCTGAGAGTGGAAGGGTACACTGGTACACTTCTAAGGAAAACATTCTAAAGAATTTTTTTGTTCATAAATATGTTTATCTTTCATAATTATATTAGGATAAATTCCTAGTAGCAAAATTGCTGGATATAAAGGTATATGACTTTTTAAAGCTTTTAACGCATATCTTCAAATTGCCATAGTATTTTTTCTCAATGTCCTTAAATATAAATTCTTTTTAAAAACCATTAAAAATATTTTCCCCTTTCTGGCATTTTATCTTTTTTTGACCTTTTCTTATTGTAGTGAAATATACATACCATAAGATTTGCCATTTTAACCATTTTTAGCTAAATAGTTCAGTGGTATTAAATATATTCTCAAGGCGGTGCAACCATCATCACTATCCATTTCCAGAACTTTTCATCATTCTAAAAAAATTTTAAACAATATATAACGAGGCCTTATAATTGTTCACATGGGTTTTACCCAGTAATCCCACTAAAGAATAATTAGAAATTCAGAAAAAAGATATAAAAGAAAATACAGTCTATAAGGTATTGTTTATAATAACAACAAAAAAAGGCAGGAGAAAAACAACCTAAATGTTCATGGGAGAAGTGGGTAATTAAAAAAATTATGGTACATCCATATGCTCAAAAAACATTGAAGAGAAAGAGAGGAGAATACTAGAAATGTTTATAATGCCTCACTTTGATTAGGAAGATTACAGATTATTTCAATTTTCTTTATGTTTTTCTGTATTTTCCCTATTTTGTTTAATGAATAAGTATAGCTTTTATAACTTTTAAAGTGTTATTTTCAGACATGGCATTTTGACAAAATCTATGACCTCCCTATAATTATATTAAATGCAGGGGAAAAAATTGTCCATCTCTTCATCTTGCCTCTGCCCATTATGTAACTTTTAGATACTTTTAGCTAATTAAACAAGTATGACTGAATTTGAAGTTCATGTGGATTTTTGAAATTTCTAGGCTCAGCCTTTTTCACTTTCAAATGCTTTTACTTGCTCGGTATTTGATGAAAAGTTATGCAGGGAAGTTTCACAGAACCCTGCATATCACTTCATTGTAATATCTCATCTCAGATTCATAACCCTGCCCAATATAACTTTTGAGTACTGATCGCTCTCTGACATTTCTTCTTCTCAACCTCTCTGACGATCATGTGTTTCTTTAATTGACTTGTCTGCAGCTCACTGATACTATCATACTGGGCTTTCAGAAACTTCACCCTGGACACAACGTGGACTAAAGATGTGGAAGCTGCTGCTGGGATCCAGGAAAGAGCTGAAGATCGCCTGAGCTCAGCCACCAGCAGAAGGGTGGAAAGAAGCAGGGGGGTTTGAACGACATTAAGAAGCTAGAACCAGCAGGGCTCAGCTGCTGATGAGATGGAGAGACAGGAAAAGGAAGCGTTAGGAGTGAGTACTGGCTTTTTGTCTTGGTTGACCGTGTAGCGGGGGCACAGAGAACAGCAGCAAGTGGTAGAGAAAAACAGCAATGGTTCAGCTCAGAGCATGTGCCAGAGCCTAACTATCTCAGAACAAGGGCATCTGCCTCGATGTCCACCCACCCTCGGAAGTGGCCTGCTCAGAGCTGCCTTTCCATGTGTTCTAGTCCTTCTCTGCTCATTTCAACTGGGTGTTTACAAGTCAGAGCTTTATGACTAGTCAGGTAAACAAACCATTTCAATCTTTCAGTTCCATGGAGTCTCATCCCTCCTTTCTAGTTTCACCTTCTGTCACCTCCCCTGATACATTCCATATCCCCCCGCCCCCATCACACTGAATCCATCATTCCCCAAGGAGAATGGGCCCTTTCCCAACTCTGTGCTTTTGTAACAAGACTGATTGCTTCATCAGTACCACTTCCTCACTGTAGCCTGGCCCAGCTCCCTTAGAATCAGTTGCTCTATCCTTTGTTCACTAAAAAATAGCTTTGGTTTATCTAGTTACTTGAGTTTTTTTTTTCTCCCTAGCTCCTGTAAGATCCAAGAGAGCAAATACTTTTCTCATTCATCTTTATACCAACTGACACACAATGAACACCTGAATAAATTAATGCAAAAACAGAACCTTGGATTCAAAGTGATATTATTAGGAAGAACAGCTAAAAAATCAAGAAGGGACAGAACAATGCTTTCAGGCAGAGGTAGAAAATACCTGGCCTTCATGCCTTGACTTTTCCACCTCTTGCCCATAGCAGATATTACTAATTAACCTCACCACTTTCTTCTGTCAAGTCTAACTCAGCCTCAAAAATCTTTTAATTTTCCAGGTAACCAAGTACTCACTTGGAACACCATATAAAACCCCTTCCTATCTCAGCTTTAGGGAATTAAAGCATTCAGCAGACTGTATTAAAACCTATTGTTGAATGGCTTTCTGTACACAATAACTTGACCAGGGAGAAAAAAATGCTTTTGAAATGAGAAGATTCCATTTGTATAATCACTTAATTCTATCAACACAAAATACACAGCCTCCCACAAAAGGAGCAAAGTACAGGAAACTGACATTCTTTACTTGCTACCGAGGAAACATAAGTGATTCTTTTTCTCCACTAAATGACTATTTGCTCAACTGTTGGAAATGACAGTAACAAATACATACTTGTTGAAGTTGACGAGGTACAGAAAAGTGGTGCGTGGCGCCGGCCCATTCCAGTGGATGGTGTACCCCTTCTCCAGCATGACCACGGGCTGGTACTGCGGAAAGGCAGCCTTCTGGTTAATTCCCCGCAGCACCATAGGGTGGGAAGGGTACTCGTCTCGAGTGATGGTCATAGAAAGATTCTGGGTGCTCCACGTCTGTACGTAGACCTTAAAAAAAAATAAAATTGAGGAACTAAAGGGAAGCAAATGAAAAGTTGAAATAGCGAAACAGACATTTCCAGCACAAAGTCCAGCGTCTCTACTTTGAAAAGAGAGATTCTGTGATCGGTGCCAGATTAAATGAGCAGCAGCCAACTGTATCCTGAGCCACGCTCACAGCACGGCCTGCTTAAACCAGAAACAGTAAAAACAGATGACACGTCCTGCTAGCCAAGAGCTTCATCATCTCTTCCAGCACTACAGGCCAGCTTATTCATCAGAACATAAAACGTCTGGGGCTTACATAGCTTGTCAAAGTAATCTCTCAATCTGAAGAACGCACAGACAAAAAAATTAGTAAACTAATATCCTCTGGTCAAATCTAAGAGATTTTCCTCTAAACCAAGAGATGGAAAATTTATATATCTTAGAGCTTTGGCTTTCAGTTTTCCATGACCTACATCAGCCCAAGAAGTCATTTTTCACCCATTCAAAAATTTTAAAAAAGTTATAAAGCGCTCTGCAGCAACTAGAAAAACATATTAAACTGGGACAAATTGAAAGCCCTGAATTTATTCCAGTGGCATCTGAGCCACTTTTCGTGCCAAAACAAAACCATCCCCAAATGCATCTTCCAAAGGACAAACCTCAGAACAATTTCTTAAAACAAATCAGTATCTGTAATCAAATTCTCCAGGAGCATTAAAACATTTGCAGGATATTGGCATTTAGTCTACAATACTTCGGTATTTTTCTCTGTCATTTCTACAATCTTGTCCATATTGCTTTCTCAATTTTATGTCCTTTGGCCCAGAAAGTCGTCTTAATTCTCATTCACGTTTAACTCCTTTGATTTAATACTCTTCTCTACTGATACCACTTAAAGATTTAAAATAAACAGGAAACATGTTTTTAAGACCACTGATTATCTTCACTTAAATATATATTTAATATGTACTTTAATATATATTTATATCTAATATATATTTAATCATACATACACACATATATATAAAAGGACATACATATACCATATATCTGTCCCCAACCTTCTTCCCGAGGATATTTAAGGTGCCACATGTAACCCTAATTCTCCCTATGTACCTATGTACTATGTATCTTTCTTCCTGGGTACCCCTCATTCCTCAGGTCAGCAAAGTACAGATATTCCACTAAAAAAATATTTACAAATAGTTAAATAATGATTATTCTATCTTGAGATTCAGTCACTTCCATTTTTTGTCTACAACTGTATACTGTATTATTTCTAAGTAACAACAAATGGCTGCAGATCTGGGCTTCTGGTCCAAATTTCAAATTCTCAGGAGAAAACTTCCTACCTGTGGTCCTACCATTCCCAGAGCCTCCTGGGAAGTATTAGATGACTTATTTCTCTCTTTATCTCTAAATAAAAATAGAATTACTACTCTGCTTCGTAAGGTAGAAGGATAAGATTCATATTCTCAAATACATTAGAAATCCAAAGAGTTGAATACTTTACTGAGTGAATACTGAATAAAAGAAAAATATGTAACATTGACAGTAATAACTGTAATGTATAGAAAACTAAGAGCTATCATAACCATGTATTTTATAGATACATTTATAATCATTTTAAAAATATGAAGTTTTCATTAGCAAGTATCTACCACTTTAAGACACACACACACAGCTAGCAAGAAATTTAGCCAAAACTATAGCTACAAAAAGACTAAAAGCTTTTTTTTTTTATTTTAATTCTAGAATTTCTATAGATTGCTAGATATTGATGGGTAAACTTAATTTAGGGAAGGCAATTCTGATTAAGAATAAAACAAATAGAAAAAAGAAATCACATTTTAAACCATGTTCTTTTCTTCTTTGTTCTTTATTCTTCCCCATCCCTTCCTTGTCCCCTAGGCAAGTATTACATTTTATTTTATTTTATTTTATTTTGCTCATGGGAATGAGAAATCCCACAACAAAGAAGCTAATACCCCCATTGAACAAACCAGAAACTCTCTCCAGTCTCTATCCCCCTTAAGCCCTTTGTCTAATCTATAGATAAGAATCTGAACTTTATTTTTAAAAGTTTTTAAATTTTGGAGTAATGTTCTTTAACAGTCATAATTCAAAGTCAGAAGAGCAATGAAGAATTCTGACCTAAGAAGCTCCACCCATACAAAGCTAAGGTGGTAGAAACCACATAAAACTCCAGGGGCGCAGAGAAGAGACGAGCAGGAGGCCATGAACACACCCTTGACAGGGCTCAGCAGAAGGGAAACAACATAGGGCTGGTCCTTCCCCAGGAAGAACACGCACTACAAATAAGGGGACAAGCAGCAAATCACCGAGAGGGGCTTCTTTCTTGCCTTTGGGGCTATTGGAACCCAATGCTATCTGGAAAATCACTTGCTCTTCCTCTAATTCTCCTCTCCATGTTCTGATCATCCCTTTCCTTTACTCTTTTATCTCCCTCGACAGTCTATTATTAAATCCTACCCTTTAATTGTCTAAAACACGGGGAAATATCCCACTGCCTTCAAAATGCTGGGGAACTGGTACCTCCTCCGTTCTGCAATCTCTCCCACCCATCCAAATATCACTATTAAAATCACCTTTGCAATTTAGAGCCCTGCTCCTCAAATAATACTAATAGTGGCAGGCACTGTGTTATGTACCAGGCCAGGCCGTATGCTAAATGCTTTCCATATATTCATGCACGCTATCCTCACGACAGCCTCATAGGAGAGCAACTACTATTATCCGCACTGTTGACAGGCACCGAGTAGTTAATTAACTTGCTCAACACATATTTAGGAAATAACAGAGCCAGGATTCAAACCCAGGCAATCTGGCTCCAGGACCTACACTCATAACTATATATAGTAGCTTGCACATTAGTTCATCCTGTTACACTGGGCACCAAGTTAATAAATATGCATTAGCTTAATGTTGTCAAAGAGGTGTGTTTCCCAAACTATATCATCTCCTTCATATTTTCATGGACATTATTTCATGATATAATTAGAAGAATGTCCTTGGATTCTTTCCTTGTCCACTCATTCCTAATTCTCAGCTCTGTCCTTGAGAACATCTTACTTTCCATGGGACCTATAGATATTCTGCCTTCAAACTCAGATTCCCTAATTAAGTAGAGATTATGACCCTCAAAGCAAAGGATAAAACTCCCTCTTAGGGGACACAGCAGTAGCACGGCAAGAAAACCTGAGTCAGTGCACTCTCCTAGCAACATCCCAACCAAGGGTAAATCATCTCACCTCCCTGGGACTCACTTTTTCACTTGTTAAATTGTTTGGAGTAGGGGAGCTTTAAGTACAATTCTATGAGTCCATGAATTTTCTTTTTCTTTCTTTTTCTTTTTAATGAAATAATCATGCTTTGGGAAGCATCGATCACACTGAAAAGCTGAGGAGTTCTCCTCAACAAAGCAGTGCTGTCAGGAGCTAGCAGGGACTCAGGCAGAAGATGCTTTCTGGGCCTACCTGGGCATAGGTCCCACTGCAGACCACGGCATTCCACTTGGTAAGGTTTACACAGCTTGGATGGCGGATCAGGTAGTTGTCCATTCTTCCCACATAAGTGTCCTTGTATCCTGTCACAGAGCCATCAACGTCATGGAATATGGAGTTCTTATCACCATCCAGCTCACAATCTTCAAACCAGGGGCCGGGCTTTCCAAAGAAGACGTTCAGAGACACCTGACCACAGTGAGACACAAGGACATCACAAAATGAGGACTCCGACCATCTTAGCGCCCCCTGCAATGACCCCACTGCAGATCCTCACAACCGCTTCAAGGCGAAAGCAGTTCTAAGCTACAGTCCGTAGTTATCAACTATGCCACCCAGTCAGTCAGAGTTGTCTACTCAATTAATGACATTGGAAGGAAATAAAATTCCCAAACCCTGATGGAGTCTAATTGGCAAATGTTAAACTTCATCTTAATTTTTATTCTTTTTTTCACTTAAAAACCATTACCTGCCCCCCAGACAAAACAAATATGTGGTAAGAGAAACCAGAAGAGTTGTGGAAAGAGGACCATGCAGCCATATACATTTGCCAAAAATTATAAACTGCACACATAAGATCTGTGCATCTCTGTATGTAAATCATACCTCAATTAAATAAAAATTATAAGTTTAGCTTCGGAGCTAGTTAATCATTTTATTTCATTCCAAATGCTTCTGTTATTTGTTCATATGAATTCCCCCCTCCACAAAAATGAGCACAGGTCAAAACTGAAAGACAATTTAAGGACTGGCTTAGTATGGCTAGGTTGTTGTTGAACTCACTAGAATCTGCTGAAAAGTATATGTTATTAACTCTTTCCTCAACACAGACCAAGCCTAGCTCAATTTTCATGTCAGGTAGAGTTAATTTAAAGTCTTTACCAAACACACAATGCACAGCTGCAAAGTGGGCTGCAGGTGACATGTTTCACAGTCTTTAGCTACTTCTTATTAGCGGTGAATTACTAACACTGTTTAAGCCACACAGATACATCTCTAAAATGCTTTTCTGCACTTATCACCCAGGGATGTTTTAAAATCAACAGAACATCTGAATGATAAGCAACCCGATGGAAAATAGTGATGTGTGGGACAGATGGCTGCAGGTTCTTAGTTCTATGCTTTTGCTCTTTTCTGTTTTGCCTCCTATGGTTAAATCTGAGAAAAGTTTAGAGTATATTTTCACCTTTTTAGGTAGAATAAATTTTGCAAACTCTTCTCTTTATAAACTTTCCAGAGCGTCCCCACCATAGAAAACTCAGGCTAGATGAACTGCTGGACTTAAACAGTATGGGTTTTCTTATGCTGTTCTAACTTCAGGACTTTTGCGAGAACTGTTTTTCAGTAGTAGGCCATGTCAGTGGTCACTAAACTCTATGCAGGCAGGACTATGAGGAGGTCCATTTGGGCAGTAAGTGACCAGCCAGCCTCCACACTGCACAGGTGGTCCAAGACCGCCACTATTGACTTAGGCAGGAGCCATCTACTAGTCTGGTCCTACCCCTGATCTAGAGCCACACGGCCTGAAAGAAAACCAGCCAACCAAGCTGACATCCCAATTTGCATCTGTGCCTCTCTGTTCCATGCCTTGGCTGTTCTACAAAACCAGATATAGACTTCAGTTAACCGATCTCAAGCTCTATTTTTAACTGGGCAACCATAAACTTCATGGACATGAATAGGACAACTATGAGCTATTTTCTAGGTGCGGCTGCCTGTGGGAATAGGGAGCTAGATAGTCTGAGACTAATCCCTCTTGTGCCATTGCCATCCTGAAACTGGAAAGATGATGAAAGCCTGAGGGCATGTAATCAGACTGTCCCATGCATTTCGGGTAAAGGCGATACTCGTGACACTGCCAAGACTATTTCTGTGGGCTACTGTATTGTAAACAGTAATTTCTAAGTCTTCTTTACAATCTTCTTAAAAACCTTCTAACAATTTATATCAGAAATAACTCAATTTGCATCACACTGCCCCCAAATTTCTCTTTGTTCCCAACCTTTTATCATCGAGTTCCCCAGAAGAACAGCTCCCAGACAAGTAAAATACCAGGCAGGACCCAAATCTCTTAGCAGAGATGGGCTACCCCACCAGTGTATTATACTGAACTTCCCAAAATCAGACATCTTCTTGTTCCTATGAAACTATACAATTCCCGTGTTATCATACTTGAAGTCATTTTCCCTTTCAAAACATGACTTGCATGTCAGAAATACCCTAAGTCACATGGGACTTCTGTTCTTATCTTGAACTCAATGGCACAGAGTGCATGGAACTAGGAGTTCCTTCTGTCTATATTTCTCTTTCTAGTCATAAAGGGCCAATATTTTTGAGAATGAGCCATCCCTCCTTCTCTGACCATAGTCACTACTTAGGAAGACCATACTTACATGCGGACCAAACTTTACAAGGGAGATGTTGTTCCTGGGGGTTATCTGCCAGGAATTCTTCATGAGGAAGCCAATTGCACTGCTGTACCTATCTGGAGTTGGCACATATCTTTTGAAAGTGCTCCTGGTGAGATGAATGGGCCCATCATAAATCTGAAAGCCTCTAATTGGAAATGTCCTGTTGAAAGACAAGATTTTGTTTAATGCACATGTGCCTGTCTCCTTAATAGCACTTTACTTATTTCTTTTATAAATACTGCTGAGTAGCTCATATGCACTAAGCAAAAAACTCTAAGATCCCCAACTGAGTAAAACATATACTGTAGTGGGAAAGACAAACAGGAAAACAAAAGATAATTTCAGATAGTAAATGCTAAGGAGACAATAAAACACAGTAATATAATAGTTTGGGTGGGGAGAGAGATGCTATTTTGGATAGAATGAGGCCTCTCTGTAGAGGTGACTCTGTTTTCCTTGAATCGGCTCAGTTAAGATCTTTTAAGTGGCAACTCATATACTTTAGTTTTAGTTCTAAAACCTCTAGCCATGAGAACAAAAGACAAATCTGTGCTTAAGCAGAGAAAACCTCCTCCCAAGCCACTAAATGATAGTAAAGAGGTGAAACGATACACTTAAAATTATGAAAGTATAAGTCCTCAAGGCTTACTATGTCAAAAAGCTTAGCTACATTGAGAATTTCATTTTATTCATTTTCCTTTCTGTTCAAACACAAACTCCTTAGCCTACTAATCATAAGTCATTAACCATAATTAATGTACAAAACCTATAATATTCTCCATTCATCAGGTTTCTCTCCTATTAAATTTTTTAATGGCATTGCAGGGGATTTCTATAGCAACTAATTAGTTTACAATTTGACAGTTGTAAACTGTGTTACAAAACTGTGTTTTGTAACTAAAGCATACATACTAGCAAGAAAAACAAATAACCTGCTTAAAAATCTATGCATCATGACATATTTCTGAGCATATATCTCAAAATGGTTCTCCCCCATAGAAAAAGTTGTAAAGATACAGTAAAATAAAAAGTGGTTCCATTTACCGATGAGAAATTTTGCTTTTGGACAGCCCTCCTTAACAAAGCAATAAGCATTCTGAAATAAAACTGGAGGTCAACATAAAATAAAAAGAGTGAAATTGATTTGCCCTTCATCATACTGAGCCCATACCCCAACCAACATAGCTTTTTTTTTTTTTTAATCCACACATCAAGAGAGGCAATTACATCTTAATTGTGAAGAGCACAGCATTGAAGCCAATCTAACTGGGTTTGAACTCCACCTCTGTTACTTTAGTAAGATAACCCATTTACAAAACAGGTTGATGACAGCACCTACTTCACTGGGCTTTGGAGGATTAAGTGAATAGAAAGTATTTAGCACAGGGCCTCATACATCATAAGAATTTTTAAATTTTTAATTATCATGGGTACATAATAGTTATACATCTTTATAGTATACGTGTGATATTTTGATAAGGGCATACAATGTGAATTAATCAAATCAGGGTATTGGCGTATGTTAACTATTAAAAAAAAATCCATGAAGTTCTTTTCCCAGTGGCTTCCCTGATCTAACAAGAGGAATTCTATAAAGAGTGTAGAGTATAATGGTGCTAAATATTCCACAACAATAAGCACAGAGGAAGAAAAGCCGGGCATAGGTAATCCTTTACCAGAAACTAGTAAAGTTCTATTCCCAGCCCTCGCTCTCCACATCCTCCCCTAAAAACCTAACATCTGCTTGCCCCATTCCCCTGCCTAACCCCAGCCCAATGCCCAGAGGTAGCATTTCTGCAAGGGAGTTAATTCTTGAATTTTGGCCCAGTCTCAGAGGTGAGGCCTTTGAACACTGTTTAGTTTTCCTCTCCTGATTTCCTCACAAGCAAAATGAGGACAACTCCAAAATGTGTCTCAGAACTGAGGTATGGATTAATTAGTTAGCAGGTCCCTAAAAGCTGTGAAGAAGTGCTAAGTACTATTTTAATGACTTTGCGATTACGACGACAGAAAACACGCCAACAGCCTACCCCCGTCCCCCTCCAGCATCTAAAACACTGTGGGTTATACAGCTGCGGTTAGATTTGGCGTCAACTTCGCCATCAGTCAACTCTCATTTCCTAGGACTCTTTTCAGTAGGTAATTTCCTTTTTCCAGTGGCTATTTCTGAAAACCAACATCATAAATTGAGGAAAGACTGACCTAATGTCATAGTTTATGGTTTGGCAACTTTCTATAGCTCAAGAAAGAACAACCAAAAATTCACCAGCTTATGTAAGGTCTTATATAAGGAATGAGAAACAAAATAGGTTTCTTTGTTATAAAACTGGCAATGAAATCGATGAAATATTTAATAATTAACGTTCCAAAATTCCAGGAGGAAAATACACACAATAATAGGAACAGTGGTAGTAGTGGCAGGAATAAGACAGGAAAAGAGTCACAGTAGGAAGCAGTCCATCCAAGATTATTACGTAAATTTCCTTGAGGGTTAGATCTTCTTTTATTGCTAAAGTTTAACACTCTACTTTTAAAGTAATGCTTACCTGTTCCTAGGTAACGTCCGAGGTTTCTGGTCTATTCCTCCAATGCCTACATACTTGTTCTGACCACCTGGAAAGCCATAATTCCTGCTCTCCCCAACAAAGAGAGATTCCAATACCTCCTGGCTGGACCCCTCATCACTTGGGAAGCTTCCATCACTGTTAAAATAAGAACAATCCTTAGCCACACTTCTCTAGAAAATTTAAACTTATTTCCAAATGAAGGCAAGCTATAACATAAAAGCTAAAAATTTTAAAAGCAGCCCATAGCTTTTTCTAATACACATTACCAAGTCTTCAGAAATTGCTTTTAAACCCTGAAAATACTTCAGGTAAATTAATAAATGGCTTGCAAATTATATATAGACAAATGAAATGTAATTTTGCAACACCAACTGATTGCTACAGTCTCAAACAGTATGGCAAACAAACTTGCTCTGAATAGAACTAAATTACCAGCACATTTAACATGACAACTAGCATGACTATTATCTAGAGAAAAATATGTAACACAAAAAGTTTAGTCCTTGAAGACCATTGCCAAGTTAGAGCAGCTTCTAAAAAAGAAAAGATTAGTTTTTAATCTTCTTCCTACTTTTACTCCCTTCTTTTTCCTCCACTTTTTTAAGAACGTTAGTCTAAATCGCAAGTATTTTCTTCTAAGTGAAAATTATGATGGGCACCCTTCTGTGGAATACCAGCTATATTAACCTATTATGGTATAAATTCTATTCATCAAGAAAAATGTATTTTTGGCCCTCTAGTGGTATCAGGAAGAGGGTGCTATTTTTTT